ACACAAAGACACACACACACATTTAGGACACACAAAGACACATACACACACTCAGGACACACAAAGACACAAACACACTCAGGACACACAAAGACACACACACTCAGGACACTCAAGGACACATGCACACACACTCAGGACACTCAAGGACATGTGCACACACACTCAGGACACACAAAGACACATGCGCACACACACTCAGAACAAACAAAGACACATGCACACACACTCAGGACACTCAAAGACACATGCGCACACACACTCAGGACACACAAAGACACATGCGCACACACACTCAGGACACACAAAGACACATACGCACACACTCAGGACACACAGAGGCACATGCGCACACACACTCAGGACACACAAAGACACACAGAAACACAAGCACACACACACTCAGAACACACAATGACACACAAAGACACATACGCACACACACTCAGGACACACAAAGACACATACGCACACACTCACCAGAGCCTTTAGACCTGTGTGCCAAGGCCAGGCCTGCGTGAATCAGGGTGTAATAAAACAAGGATTAAGCACCTTGCAAGGCTGAGCACTAGAGCTGCCCCCCTTTGCCTCTGCCTGGCTGGGTGTAACCTGAACGGCCAAATTCTTCCTGCCCGAAGGAGAGCTGCCTGGGTGAAGTGTTAATATAACGCTCATATAACCAACACCTCCTCTGAGGCAAAGCCCAGTGCCCCGGGACGCTTGTCCCCATGTCCCGCTTAAATAGGGGAACAGAGTAACAAAGCGTTCCAGGCTGCGGGGCAGAGTGTAAGAGTGTCTGGGCCGGGTTCGCAGAGCTGGCTGATGTGTGCAGCCTCTCTCCTCACACACAGCATTCAGCTTTACCCTGTACGTTCATCAAGTGAGTCAGGTGAAGTAAAACACCCAAAGACGGTAAGAATAGTGAGCACATCGTATTTCTGCGTAGATAAGAACATTAACTTGAATCCATTTTGGGATCAAAATGCATTTAAAACTATTTTTCAATGCGCATTCAAGTTTATTTCTCATTTCTTCTGGAAGTGAGATCACACAGATATCACAGATATGAGATACAGTACTCACAAAGCGTCTAAAAAGTATTTTCTTAACAAAATTGCAAAATGCAAAGAAAGAGATCAGCTTCTGCGCCGGATACCATGGTTTAAATTGCAGCAGATTAATCCTCCAGCAGCTGAATGTTCAACTCTTCACCCAAATACGTCAGATGGTGCTTGATGTGAGTCTGTGAAATAATTCTTCTCATATTTAGAACAATACAAATAGTAATACAGTATAATATGACAGATTAAACGTGGCCTCTACTCTTAGCAAACTATGGGTCTCCCTCTAGTGGTGTAGATTAAGTACTGCAACACACTCTTGGCAGAAGGAGCCTTTTAATTGGAACATTAAACCCACATTTATAATGACAGCCGCGGCAACCAGTCAGCTTTTTCTTAGAAATTAACGCTTGACATCTCTTAGTCTTCATTAGGAGACATATCACCTAGCACATTTCAGTCAATAACAGCAAATATCTGAGTTCCACTAAAGTAGCAGTTTCCTCCCCAAGAAATCATTTAAGTTGACAAGATAGAGACAGCACATGCTTGCTACCGTGCATAAGGAGTAAGAGCTCACAAGCAACTTACATACAAATCTGAAATGATCCTGAGTAATTACTCAAAGGGAGAAAGGCACTTCATATGTCTCAAAGCAGACATCAATGTCATGAGCATCTATCCAGATTGTTTTTGAGTGATAAGAGTGCTGTGCAAGTGTGGACATTACTGGTTGGAAGGCCAGTTCTGAATTCCAAATTCATAGTGCAATCTTCTGAATTCGGCACCACGTAGTGCTGACTGCAGACACCCTGCCTCAAAACATCCAACCTAAATAGTAGCATTGCAAGGTCAAATCCTCCCCTTCACCCAGGGTACACCAAGAGCAAGACAGGTGCTTTAAACATTTTGTTTTGAGAGCCAAGGTCTGAATGCCAGAGACCAGGACCTGCTGCCGAGAGACAGGGTGTTCTAGGGCCTTAGCTCATGTCTTCTGACTGACCCTTGTGCAGGTCTGCAGGGTGATGAAACAAGGTTAGAAACCCCACTCATTCTCTAATAGTGAGCTCACATTTAACTCGCTAATATTCTGATTTTTTTAGGCAAAGTTTTTCAGATATAGCCTGTCAGATAATTTTCCAAGGAGAAAGAAATTTGCTGGAGTCATAAACCTGAGAATTATCCTCCATAAACCTGGTTTTGGAAACGAGAACAGAGCAGTTTGTCTTTTGAGGCTCTGTATGCAGCCCTTGAGGTTTCCGAGTAAAACACACACTTCTCATACTTACATTCAACATCATTAACATCTGTGTTTAATCTCAGATCTGCATTTAAGCTTTGGGCAGGGTGGAAGAGTCACTCTGATGGCTACAAAACCCTCTATATCATTGACAAAGGGTAGCTGCCACCTTCTGCTTGTTATACCCCTGCACATATTCTCTCTGCCCTCTGATCCTTTCAGTCCTCACCTGCCTGCCTGTCTCTCCATAGCTGTTTAGCTCTGTCTCCATGGCTAGCTGTGACGAATCTTGTTTCTATGGTTTTGTTTTGTGTTTTCTCTTCTACTCCAGAAGCACGCCCTACCTTCCCTTCTCAGCATTCCCCATCCCTCCTTCACTGAAGGCGTTCGTAGCGAACCCAGCTTTGGAAATATTTGGCTGGACGCTACAAATTAATTTTTATTTTGGCAACCTGGCCAGCCTAAGTCTGAGTTTCTCTGAGCCAGTGTTTTAGTTACCGGTTGTTTGGCATTCAGCGTCAAAAGATGAAAAGCTGGACTCGTGTCTGCCTCGAGATGGATTGCGCTGCTAAGTCAGAGCGCTGCTAGTAAGAGATAGTGGTCAAAGCACATGGAGACACGTGCCAGGATCTGGGATTAATGGGGCTATCAGAAATAGGCCTGATCAAAAGACTGTTTACATTATCGGTTGAGAGAGGGGCCAAAGGCAAAAATAAATAATAACAAAATCAAAAGAGTTTCCATTTCTATCAATTTTGTCAAAAAGGCAGATCACTATGCAAGATTAGGGACTTAAGGGTGACATTATCTGATACGCTTTTAAATGTATTCAACACAATCTCTTGTGTATCACATTTAACAAATCGGTACTCATGAGCGGCTCTGTCCGATAGTGAACTACAGTACTGTATATCACAGGCGGCATGGCAGAGCAGTGGCTAGCATTGCAGCTTAGCTGTGCTGGGGCCCTGGGTTCAGTTCCTGAGAAGCTACAGTATCTGCATGGAGTTTGAAAGTTGTTTGGGTTTCCTCCCACAGTTTAAAGACACCCTGGTAGATTAATCAGCTCGTGGAAGAACTGTCCCTGGTGTGAGTGTAAGTGTCTGCCCAGCGAGGGACTGGCGCCTTATCCAGGGTGAACCCAGCCTCGCACCCACTGATGGCTGAGACAGGTTCCAGCTTCCCCTCGACCCGTGTTGGATAATGGATGGATTTGAAAATGGATGGATGTTACCTCGAGACGCAAAGGATAAGAAAACAACTCCACTTACAACCAAAGAGTCATTGGGTTTTACTTCTCATAATGGGCCTGATGCATAGAGGGATGACACCACCCAAATCAGTTCCTAAATCCCAAAAAAAATACAAATACCATTCACAAGCCTTTTCTCCTTCGCGTTCTTCCAGAGAATTCCTCCCCATCACCTGAGCAGCTGCCCCATGGCCTCCTCTTTCCAGGGGTCCCCAGCACTTTTCAATACCTTGGATTCTTGGGTGTAGTTAGTCCTCATGAAAAGTCTTTTCTGTGCGAAAGTCACCTCTCTTCCTGGACTCCCACTGAGGACACTTACAGGCACAGTTACAGCACAGAGCAGGAGTGACTCGGGGCATGAGCTCCTGAACAGGCAGACTGGGTGGTTCAGTCACACTCATGCCATCCTCTTCAGCACTCAGTACAAACTCAGCTGTACTTTGCATAAAGATTAGCAGTCACATGTAGTACCTGTTACTGTCCAGGCATATGGTGAAGTAAGATGGCAGCCTGCTGCCAATCAGACCTTTGTGTGTGAGGAAAATGCCTTCCAATACTATTTATTAATGCCATACATGAGAGAACAACAGAAAACTCACGCGTCCACTTCCTGTGGAACAGCGACCACAGCTCCTTGTAGTCTGCAGACAGTTGCATCTGGGATATTAATATACTGACTGTTTCACAGCACACATGCAGAGAGACTTTCTGTGAGGACAAATGTCACTCAGAGTGCTGCAACCAACTCCGCACTCAGGAAGACAGACAGCTGCAGAGCTGCACAGCTGCCGTTAGCATGGAATACAGACACTCCACCATGGGGATCCGGGAATCGGTGAAGTACAGCAGCAGTGTGATTAGGAACGTCGCAGTCCCATCATCGTGGATGGAAAGGAAAATGATGGGATGGAGACGGGATGTGAATGGCACACTGCTTGTCAGTGCCTTGAATGAGATCTTCATTTCAAAGGGCAGGCAGACGAAGAACTGGCTCCTTTTCACAGTCAGCTGGAAAAGAAGGATGGCCTGTTAAACAAGAAGTGTAATGAAACACTGGCTCATGGAGCTCAGCAGGAGAAAAGGTCAAGGGAGGTCGCTCATCTTAGAAGACAGGTGGACGTTATGTTGTTTATGTCCAATACTGTCAGTTGATGTGTTTCTAGTTTATAGGCACTCCAGCTGTTCATTTTCGGATCCCACAAAACACAGGACACAAACGTCTGTTCATCACGCTAGCTGGTCACACACATACAAAAGAATTGAGGTCCGCCGTTTCCATAACAAGGTCATCCTTGACAAACTATTTTGTAATGTTACGTTTTTTTGAAAGAAAAGTTAACTTCGAGGAGCTTACTTCATAGAGAAGGTAGAATTTTCTTAACTGAGGAAAAAAAAACAGTCATGCTTTTTCTCACAGAACTCTCACAAAAGTCCAAGGAGATGCATGTGCGTTTGTAACTTTTATTGAACACCTTTCATTGGCACAAAAACACCCGATGTTGGACAGGCAGCATGGGTTATCTGAATACATAAATCTCTTTAAAATTTAAGTATACCCTACACTAAGAGATTTTACAGAAATATTTTTGCAAACTGAATCATAAATAAGCAGAGCGAGCAATGACTCCTTTAAGGGTGCCATTTGTGGCTTTAGTCACTTGAATAGGACACTTACAGTACTGTGTGTACAGTAGGTTTAACAATGTTTTTGCTACATTAACTTGTTTGTCATAAGACAAAGCATCACACAATGTGTTAAGAAAACAGAGGGTTCTTAAAGCAGCCTTAGGATCTGTCACACTATCAATTTCCTAGAAATGAAGGCAAATCTACGATTAGCACAAAACTAATTTAAATCTAAAATCTATCATCGGTCATTATTACAAGATAATGGATTATTATAAGATAACACTGTTAGTTATGTTAAGCGACAAAGACAGTCTGTGCTTTCCTAAGCACTGAATGAAGGGTGTAACTGCTATCATGTGCTTGTAACTCAGATCTGTAACACTTTCAGAAATAAAAAGAACTTCTTTGTTTCAGAGAACAAAAGCTCTCACTTGCCATGGCAACGCAGTTACAGTATATAAAGCAGGACAGGTGCACCGCCTTGCTGGGGAGCCCAGAGCCCCAGTCCAGTACTGTGTCTGGTGGTCGGAGGAGTAAGGGAAGCCCGGGTCATCGGGAAACATGGATAAACACCATCAGGTTTGTTCAGCCTCCATCTCCCTTCCAGAGAAAAGCAGACTCTTCCTCACTCAAGACCACCGTTCTAATGGAACGGCAGAAGGCCAAAGGGCAGCAGCAATGAAAATCTGAAGTTAAAACTCTCCTGTGCTGGCTTTGACCCTCTGTTGTTGTTTTTTTTTTAAGATGCTTACACACTGCCCCTTGAATACCCAAGATCTCCCATTTCCAGTGGAGCTCTTAATCGCCAGTGCTAATTGAAGCCTTTCATTGATTGGCTTGCATGTCTGGACTTTGGTTTACCTGCTTCAGCACTTTGTGATTCTGACAACGTCAGCATGCAGAGCGCTCTGCGGCCTCTCCTCAACAGCGGCCAGCAGGGGATCAGAATGTGGTGGACTAACACAGGTGGGAGTGACGAAACTGTACATCTAACTCTCCCACAATGAGCCAGCAGAAGACCACGTGGTTATACAGTATGTCAGCTAACACCCATGAATAAAGGGTAATCTGAAACTCAGAAATGGATTACATTTTTGATCCCATTTGACTTTTTTTTTTTTAAGAGATGGAAAACTGAAATCAATCAGCTCCCCATCAAGAACGCGAAGGGACAAACTGCAGGGAACAGGAGAGAACTACTGGCCTGGAGCAGTAAGTACTCTTTCCCCGGCTGGTGTCTCTCCTGAGCCTCCGTGTTCAATTGTGATTAAAAGACCCTCCAGACGCTGCAGACCACAGCATGAACAGCACACTGCCCAAGACACAGAGTGAGCCTGATGTCTGCCATAGTCAGCAAAGTAATTAGTAACCAGAGATGTTCCCAGTCTCACAGGGGATACACATTGTTAAATCTGAAGAGGTTGTGTAAGATCGGCTGAAGGACCGGCAATAAACAGGTTGGGACTGACCATTATCAATTCCATCCCTGGCAGACACTACATTGAATACTGTCGAAGCTATTTATACAACTCAGAACTAAACAGATCATCCCCAACTCTTATAAATACACCCCCACTCATACACTGTACAGCTATGTTCACAAAAAAGTAGGATGCCTGTCTGTGAATAACCTCCTTGGCAGGCAGTGTGGTCTGTCTAGTGACTTTTTCTGGAAAAATTTGAGCGGGGAATATTGAGTCAGGAGCACAACAGCAGTATTCCACCTGGCATTTATATTTACAATTTTTCCCATTCAGGAGTTTCCGGATTCTTTTTGGACTTGGTTCTATATTGTTCTAGAATTTATTTCTAGATTCACCGGTTCACTTCCTTTTCTGTAAAAAAACAAAACCCCTGGATGAGTGTGCCAATCCTCAGTTTCATAAAGCTAGCCATCCTGAGATAAGTAAAACATAAGCGAGACAGAAGACCAAGCACACAAAGGAGCAAGTGCAACACCACAGAAAGTGGTATAGCATGGTCTTGTGCACAATAATGATCTTTTCACATACAGTAGCTGCAACATGAAACTAAAATTCAATTCCAGCACCTTTGGTCATGAAAGCAGTTTTCAATGTCTTCAGTCCACCCACCCCCCAAGATCGACAGAACTCCATTGAGCAGTAACAAGAAACCTTTCCTTAAAAGCTTCTAACAAAAAGCTGGCTAAGATTCTGGCTTTGCTTGAATTTCTGCATTTACCCACTGTACCTCCCAAATAAAGCTGCTGTCCAGTATCAGGTCTCCAATTTGCAATTGACAACAGGGGTTTAAGCTTGGGCCTCACTATAAGTGATGACAATTGAAACTGCTGGCAAGGAATTGAGATCAGTCATGTTTACTTAAATCCTTATTTTAAAATAAATAAGTACACAAATAAATACATTCAATTGTAAAGTTAAAATACATGATTCCAACAATGAAATGCCAACCATACTGAAAAAGGCACTCCTCCATCTCTATTTGTTGCAAAAACTAAATATCAGTTTACTAATTAGTTTGGCATGAATTACCAGCGGTTTATCAGTGATTTCAGCCCTGCTGTTTAGGGTTAGTAAAGGCAACTGAAACTGAAGAACAATGTATGAAAAATATGCAAATTAGTTTGCATAATTAACAAACTGCATTGTTCTCGCAACAGAGTTGTTAAAATCCTTCCCACATACATTCCAAAATGTTTGAAAGCTTGCTACCAACTATTTCTTTACACTGTGAGTAAGCAACAGAAGCAGCTTTTTAGGCAATGAAAGTCTTCATTTTCATGCAGTTCAAATTAGTCCTAATTATGCAACTCAGTATTTGTCAGTCTTCTTCTGCAGGGTTGAATCACCATGTGATCATCCAGTTAAAAATTCTACAACACTTTACACTGCATATAAAGCACAAACATCTTCTCTTTCATTTTAAAACATGAGATGTGCAAATCTTGTGTGCAACACACAGCAGAGTAGAACAGCAATAAAAACAGTCAGGTGCTGGGGTCCACACAGAACTTCTCCAGCTGAGCCACACATGCCTGACCTCACCTGGGCGAAACCAGCTTCGATCTCAACTTCCAATGAGAACAAAAGTCCCTAAGTGTCAAATCGGGTAGCTACCTGCGTATCTTCCTGGGAAGCGGTGATTCCCATGTTAGATTTCGGGGTTTTAAACATTCCTCCAAACCAAATACGATCCCTTCCTCTATTCCTCTTCGCTTCACAGTTGGGGATCATCCATTCCGCCAGAGAGGACTCGTGCTCCAGATGCCAAGGGCCCGCGGCGCGTGAAGATTCGGCCATGTTTGGTAGAGGAATGCAGTTGTGTGGGCGCAGATGTTCTTACAGGGGAGGGCTCCCCCAAACCCAGGCCGTTGCGATGGGCAGCGGGGAGTCTGGAGCCGAGCCAAGGGCCTGCAGGGGGCGGGAGGCGGAGTGATGTGCTCGGGGCTGCGGGCGGCTCTAGGTGGCCGGCGGCGCCGGCTGGATGGCGGGGCCGGGCAGCTGCACGGTGAGGTAGTTGGAGGGCACGTACCCCCGCTGGCCGCGCACCTCCACCAGGCTCCACTCGGGGTTCCCCCGCTTGTCGTGGGGCTCCAGGACCCTCACGGGCTCCCCGGCCTGCAGGCTCACCTCGTGATGGCCGCGAGCCGCGAAGTCGTAGCCCGCGCACACCTGCGGCGAGAGGAGGGCGCGTGAGTCGCCAAGGGGGACCGGGTGCAGGCGAAGTCCGCGCTCAAAACTTGAAGAGACACAATGCCTCGGCTTTAGGGCCTTCTTCAGGAGTGGCTTCATCTTCCTCCTCTGAAGAAGGCCCGGAGTCCGAAACGTTGTGTCTCTTCTTTCTACGTGACAGCAAGGAATTAGCCTGCACCTGTGACATTATATTAAGAACGACTTTAAACAAAGATTCAGGAAGATTTTAAACAAAGCCGCATAAACTAGACGATGTCATTGGGACTGCATTATCCACGAAGGCTCCCAAAGACTGACCGAGGCGATTAGCTTGTAAAACTGGGAGCAGGACTTTGTGCTGCTTGTTTTGCACTTTTTGTGCGACAAACAAGAGGTGCTAATTCACCCAGTCAGGAGGAAAAAGCTCTCTACACACACACTGTCAATACAATGCAAGGACGTTTTTAATTAAAGTAGTAAATAAATGGGTGAAATGTGCAATAAAATGTCAACTAATATAAGGGAAAATCAATGATTAAATGCTCCCTAGCCAATCTTCGTTAACTTCATTAGATTAATTCCTTTATGAACAGGAGACTTTTGAAGCCAATGTGTAAACAGCTCACCTGCTCCACCTGCTGGTTGATAGTGGGAATCCCTTAACATCAAATTGTCTGCCTCAGAAATATGTAGATTGTTAATTCTTGAGGATTTTCCCAAAAATATAATTGGTCCATAAACCAGACTTTCTTGGATATTGAGCCCATTTGTGGCTGATTTAATTTGTCTCCATAATAATGATTTCAGCAGTTCATGGGGAGATTAAGACAATTTAGACAGACGTACCATTTATAAAGCTGTCCAAAAACTGTGACGAAAATGTGAGATGTACTTATTTCACAAACATTGCATATCAACAGTGATATAATGTAATTTATTAAAAGTGTGCTTTGCAATGTTAACAGCATGTTAGAAAATACTAGATAGGTTTAAGAGTATACGAGATGAATGCAAAGCAGTCCAGTGTTAGCTCCATCTGTAAAAGAGTTAGGAGGCCCTTTCCTGCTTCTAATCTGATGATCAGGCATTTTGACTAAGATCATGTTTTCGAGTATGCAAAACTTGATGGGCATTTATCACCGACACCACCCAGCTGGTCAGTTACTGCATGACCCACATATTAATTACTACCATCTCGCATTAAGAATGTTCTCTCTATTTTTACCAAACTGTGCATTTTTATTAAGCAAAACAAATTGAAAAAAAGCAACAAGACTGTCAATTCCAACCTATAACCCTCTTGATTCATTGCTCCACCCCCCTCCTGTCACTCACCTGCAGGCAGGGCGGAGTCCTGATGACGATTGGCTGGGTGGCTGGGGAGAAGGAGTGTCTTCTGAACTCGGCTCCGCCCATGGCGGGAGCTAGATGTTGCGGCAGTGATGCTGGGGATGGAGAGGAGGATGAGGCCTGTGTCGCCTGGTGATAGGGTGTGAGCTTTGAGGCTGGGACATACCCCCTGCGACCTGGAAGAAATAAAAGACAAGGACTCTACTTTCTTTGCATTCAGAAGAGAATCAACCCAGTGGAGATCATCAGTTGGTGGAAGATTCTGAACTCTTTATTATCTCTTTAATAATAATAATAATAATAATAATAATAATAATAATAATAATATCAGGCCTGCTCATAGCCTCGTCTATTCAATAGCCAAAAGGTTCAGTTCCTTCAGCCTGACTGTTTTGTTTTAATAAATCTTTAAAAACCCTACAGGGACCCTGCTAACAGGCTAGGAAGGGATACAGAAGTGTGAATTGCTGATCCACACAAAAAAAGCTCAAAGAAGTTGTTCAGTTGTGATACCGTGTGTTCCAGGAGGGATCTGGCTGTTCGTCAGTGCACAAACACAGGCTTAGCTGAGGAGCAATGATCAGGAAGGGTCCCGGGACCCTGCGGTTTGGTTGAACTTCCAACTTAAAGCACAAGTCCGCTTCCATGAAAAGGGGAGGAACTGAACTTTAATAGAAACGAGAGCTGCTCCAAAAACACAGAGGAAACGTGGAGTCTTTCCATCCGCCCGACAGACTGCAAGAGTCGGCCTCCTGAAGAAGAGCACTCGTGTCTGTCCCTGCAGCACACCGACGGCCAGCCCAACAGCCACAGCTGCGTTTTGCGACTGCTCCTCTTCCTGGCCCAAGACTACACACCCCCGCGTCAAGAGTACCTGCGGCGTCCACGAGCCAGCGCCGGCGATCCCCCCTGGTGTCCATTTCACCCAGCACCGCCACCAGGTCCCCCCGCTGGAGGGTCAGGTCCAGCTCACGGGTGCCCCCCACATTGCCCGTCAGCTGGTAGATGCGCCCCACGCCATGCTTGTCGGTCAGAACCTTGAGTCGCTTCTGAAAGGACGGGCTCAGGGGCTGCAACCGAGAGAACACAATACCGACCCATACCCATGAGTGACTCACGAACACAACACCAACAAGACAAAGCTCAGGCACTTTCACTAACCAGTTAACGTGCCATGTCACCAAATAAAAACCAGCTAAAATTCTGTGGCCATATACAGTATGATGGATTCCCCTGCGGATCAGGGGATGTAATGACAGAGGGTGCACCACTAGAGGGAGCTACTGCAGCAGTGGAAAGTGGCTCACCTGCTGCATACTGCTTGCTAATGGTATTATGACAATTGACTTGGAATGCAGAAATACTGTGTTCACCCCCCCCACAGTTCAATAGTTAGTAATGTTTGATAGAGTAATGTCAGCAGATCAGTATGATTGAGGCTGCTGGGTGCCTGAGACTTCCAATCTTTTTAAGAGTTTTCAACTCTAAAAGTCTGGTTTTATTTGCTCATTTTGGTCCTGTGAACACCCTGGAATGTTTGAGTTTGCCTGCGTCTCAAGTGTTCTGTGTGCAAATGTCTCAGCAGCACAACACAAGAGAAAAATAAAATGGGTGCAACTGAACTGGTACAAGTTCAGAAAGTTTCAGAAAAATTCAGAATTGCAAAAACTACTTTAAAAACACCAATCTTAAGCTAAAAGAAAAAACACGAGGATAACAGTTGACATTTTTTCTGTCATGAGCAAGTTGCCAGGAATTCAAATAATGTGTTTCACCTTTGCTTCGACGTCTAAAGAGGGAAAACTGCTTGTTGATACTGGCTGTGGATTATTGTTTCGTCTGTATGACTGCTGGATTAAAAAAAAAACAAAAAAACTTGTCTAACCTGCACTGTTCTAAATTTGATTTAGTAGGTCATGGCCAGATCTGCCAAAGGAAATGTCAGAAGGCATTACTGTGTATGCGAAGCCTGTGAATGCAGAAGTACTGCAATAGCTCTGAGAGTTTATCACACACATCTCTGCTCTCTCTTTATCACTGGACACATCTCCCTTGACAGGCTTGGACCCCCATTCTAATGTTGCATTGTTACAAAGGTCAATTTTCACTGTTGACACCAGTGGTCCTGAACTGAAGAACTTATGAAATAACAGCAATCTGTGAACATTGGTCTTCAAATTCTCAGAGACTCATCACAAACCCTCTCTGCTCCTGAACTCTATTCCTGTCCTGGATGCTGTCTGGATATACAACCAGAGGCTCAATGCAGGAGTCCCCAGTACTGGTCCCGGATTCAATCCATCTACTGTGTTTAGGTCATCTAGGATTGAAACACCTGGATCAGCTCCTTACTGGCTTAACTGAACCAGTTTAACAGCTTCTCCCAGCTCTTCAGGTGCTCCTGCTTGGGAAAGATCTGGAAATCCTCCAGGACCAGGACTGAGGACCCCTAGAGGAAGACAAAGTCACTTCGGGGATGACAGGGTAGTTCTCTCTCTATACTGTAGATACCAGGTTAAAAAAAATCCTCATTGACACGTTGTCATTTCTCCAACTTTCTAATTAGGAATTGACAGATATTAGTCAGCTGAAACCACTGCTGCAAACTCTGGACTACATGTGCAGTCATCCTGCGTCTGCAGCCCCACCACACACCACACATCGGCTAGAGGGGAACTCCTTCAGCAGCGGAATGAAGAGGGAACTGAAGCAAACGCACTCCCGTGTTTTAACTCCTTCTGTGTTGTTTCATAAATCATTTCCTCAGGCACGTATCTTTGTTGTGACCTGTTCCGGCGCTGCTTCTGAAATCTGACCAGGTCCCGCTCGAGGTGGAAAAACGCCGGCGGATTTTTTACCCAGAATCCCCCAGAGCAGAGGCGAAAGGTTCGAACGGGCCCTTCGCAGCGGCTGTCCCACCTGCACAACAGGGTCGTTCAGCTCCTCGGCCACACTGCGGCACAGCCGCTCCATACTCTCGGCCCCCTGCAGCACGGACTCCTCCGCCCATTGCCAGAAGGCACTGGGCTCCAGCTGGCTGTGGGGAAGCTGGGGAAACACAAGACAGCACTACCAGCAGACTGGCCGGGCCTCACTGCTTCAGCGTGCGCGCCGATCTCACGGGAGCTCAAGGACCCTTCCACACTTTCACCCCTGTGGGAAGACGACAGACTACAGCGAAGTACGACGAAGGTAGGTCATATCAGGGCTCCCCAGTCCTGGTCAGGGGAATCACGCACCTACTGGTTTTCACTGCAGCTGAGCTCTTTACTTCAATGAGTCCTTAACTGAACCCACTAGTCTCTTGGTTAGAACCTCTGCATGTTTTTTGTCCTACGCAGAGGTTGGGAGATTTTAAGTTACAGTAGTTACAGTGGAAACAGTAGTTAAAAGGGAAACCTCTTCCATGTTTAGGAAACGAATACAATTAAAGAGTTCAAATTAAAACTTCTATTCAGGACTCAATGATTTAAAGATGGAAAAGAAGGGGTTCCTGCTTTCAGTTTTAAAGGCACTTCACTTGTGTAGTTTCATTTGTGCCCTCTGGTTCATAGCTCACTGTATATTCAGAAAGAAACTCCCTTTAATCACTCATTTCTAACACAATGTCTGGTATGGCCTCAAAGGAACAAAACATGGCAACATACCCAGAACTGGGAAATCAGACAACTTGCATTTTGAAGCAAACAGCCTCAAATTAATGGAATGGATACTTTGTTTTGGTGCTTGTGTGTGCAGGGGCTTTGGATATTAAAATTCCTACAGTTCTCTTATCCTTATTCTACATCTGTTACTTTTGCTTGTTGGCTTGAAGAAGCCGAGGGAGAACAGTGGTCTTAACCATGACTTGTATTGCACTACGTACCCTTGCCAACAAAAGCCATGCTGCATGTGGTTCAAGTTACTATAATCTCCCTGTTTTAAAGAGAATCTGATGCCATGCTCTGTCAGAAAAAACTTTTTTCCTCACATTCTGATATATAGGTCACTGCACAGTCCACAGCCCTCTGCCAACCATTTTCTAACTGCTTCATCCAATTCAGGGACATGTTGGACCCTGAAGCGGTGATATATCTCCTTAACGTTGTGCTGGTTTTCTCCGTTTTTCACCTATTGCAAGCTCTTCTGAGAGAGGTGGGAAGAAGCTTCAGGGCACACTCCGTACCTGTGGCAGGTAGCCGCCGGCCAGCTGCGCTACGTCTTCAGCCAGGTCTCTGTGAATGCAGCTGAAGGCCCCCAGCACTCCCCACAGGAGCTGCAGCGTGGTGGCGGTGAACTTGGGCAGCTCGGCCAGCAGCAGGGCGTTGAGGGTCCTGTAGGTGTTGGCCACGGCCTCGTCCTCGTAGCTGAGGCTCTGCTTCTCCTCCAGCAGCTCGTAGTCCAGCAGCTTGTGCAGCCGCTTGCGGATGAGGTTGCGGGGCCCGGCCAGCAGCTCCCTGAGCGCGCAGAGGGGCCGGTAGACCAGGGCCTGCAGCCGGCCCTCCTGGAGAGGCGGGGGGGCAAAGAGACAGAGCTCAGCCAACGAGGGGCGGCACTCAACCTGCCAGCACCCCTCTGCAGGGAGTTCCCCTCTTTCAGTGAGGGGGCCGGGGGGGGAGAGGCTATTCACCCGCTCCAGCCTTTTCTTCAAAGTTCATCAGCGGTTCTCGAAAGGGCAGGAGGACATGCAACACAACTGGACAGCGCCGAGGATATCTTCTAGCTATTTCTTCAATCATCCAAGGGAATCAGCCTTAATAACACGGCCAGGCAGCTCCCTCCACATCTCTCCAGAAAACCAGATACCCCATGCCAGAAAACGTCTGCCTTTTGCATTACTCGTTTACTCACTGGTGGTATTTTCCACAATGTGTTGTTTTTATTACCGTTAAACTTTACAAACTCAAGCTCTTGGAAAGGGGCACTGGCTGAAGAGCTATTATTATTATTATTATTATTAAGCATAGCTAGGGTGGAAAACAAGTACAAGAAACCATGAGAGCAACTGAAAATGAATGAAAAACTCTAGATGCAAAAACAGAAGCCAATGGAACAGGGCCAAGGACGTGACACCGGCAGCCTGCTCACACCACAGTCACACGCCAGCGTTCTGCAGTCACGCCCTTTTACCCCCGATTTCTAGCCAGCGGAGAAATGCTGCTGCTGAAATATGACACCATTTTCCTTTGATTTTATGAGCAGCCTAACGCCCGACAGGGAACCGATACTGGCAAGCTCCCGAGAGATGTCGAAACTGCAGGAGAAGCGAAAGTGTCAAGGCAAGAGTGTGGGACTCACGAAGGCGGGGTACATCCACTGCCGCAGGGGTGCCGCGACCTCTTTGTAGCAGCGTGCCGCCCGCACGTGGTCAAGCTCCAGCTCCCGTTCCTCCGGGCGAAAGCTCAGGTAATTCTGCGGAGAGCGAGACGAGACACACCATTCACCACCCAGGGGCCCTGACCCGGGCTGGGCTGGGCTGACCGAGAACCAGCCAAGTCGGAAAAGCACAAGTGTGAGCAGGGGAAAAAAAAAAAGCTGGTGATCCTAAAATGAAAAAAATCCTGCAGGATTATAAGGACCGATTTTGCCATTTGGAATAGACTGTCCATTTTGAGCCTGAATTTAAAATACTGGTAAAATGATATGAAAATGAGGTGTTGTCCAAAGAACATGTTTTTAGCCAGAAAGCATTGTGTACCATACAGAACTGTGGTGGGAAGCACCTTGTGCTTGTTTGCATCATGTTCATAAAAGCTGGTCATTACTTCTAAACTGCATGATTCCTTTGGAAAGAGGAACTGCTTACAGGCTGTTCTGCTAATAATCAATATTCCGTGACATATGCTGAAGTCCTAAAACAAAATCAAACATTGTGTGAAACTTTATCAGAACTCCGACCTCAATAAAAAGGACTGAGGACAAAAATCCTGCAAAGAAATGTTTCTGCAACCCACCTCCATGATAAGTACATTTGTTGCAGCTGGCTATACTTGTATCTTCTATCTTAAATTGAATAGGAAAACATGTGTCTGCATTAGTCGAACACATTAAAAAAAGGTAACTATAGAACAAGAATTAGATACAAACTATAGCACCAATGACAATAAGAATAAAATATTTACAGTTTTAGTTGCTTGAGCTCTTCATGCATAATTTGTATTAATTTGCTCAAGGGGATGTTCATAATCTTAGAAGTGTGGTTACCTGGAGGTGTCTGAGGTAAGCTCCCACATTTTCATGCAGTTCTATAATCCCTTTTTCAAGGACACAGAAATATCCTTCCAAGATATCAAATTCCTCGTCTCTAATCTGGAATCACAAAGAAACAACAGGAAACCCTGAAAAAACTAGATAGATATTAGTATGCAGAGCCCTTACAAGTACAAATGAACACTACTGACTCAGAAATAACACAAATGAATCATAACACAGAGCAGATGTAAAAGCACAAATACAACATTATCTAATAGCCTGGTTTTCTGCATGGAAATTATGCAGAATTTTATAAAAGCTCTTTTCCAGCTGTTTTATTGTGGTAAAAAATAATATTAACATGAAAATACACCTTGTAGAAAAAAAAATCAGAATGAATTCTGATTCACACAGGGTTTTGATAGACTACACTAAAGTGTTGTGAGAAAAGAGGGTAACACTTGATCATTTGGTGATAAAGCAGGTGGCCTGCACAAACACGTCACGATTGGAGCAATTGGGTGTTACAAAGTCTTACCTAATGGATAGGGCTAGGGACTTGAACCCAACTGTGAAGGGTCCCCAGTGTAAGCTACTGATCCAATCTATGCGTCTTGTGTTCATTTTGGGGCAGGTATGCTCATTAATACAGGAGGGTTTGTGTAACCAGCACCAGGGTGATACAGCTGCATCTTTCTCTGAGGTCATACATAATGAACTACACAGAAACTAGCTTCCCTTCAGTGGCCAGTGATGCTACAGGAAAGAAAGTATTCCGTTATGGACAGGAAGGGCTTGTAGGCTGATACTTACTTTGGGTTTAATGCCAGTTTCGTGTTTGATCATCTGGCTCATTCGGGCTGTCTTTTTGGCGATACTGTGTCCGCTGAGTCTGGAAATTTTGTCTCTTATTGTCAGGTTCTCTGTTCTTTTGTATTTGTCAGCTGAGAGCAACAAAAAAGAAAATGTTACATTAATGAGACAGGTGTACGCTGGTACAGTACATGCTTTGAAATAATAAAATTTGAATTCTTCCCTTTTGGATTTCTGGACAGCTTTGCTTCAAGATGAAATGCCCAGAAAGGTTTCAAGTGAATTCTAACAAATGAAGAACTGTTACAAACAAGAGCAGTTCATCTGGCCCATCTAGCTCAGCAAGGTGATTATGCACAGTACATGATCTGTGGTTGTGGACAGTAAATGGTACCGTGTTACACATTAACAAGCTTCGTGTACTTACACGTGAAACAAGCGTAAGGCTATGAAAGTTTGTTGCACTGTAGCTCCACAATGCCAGAAAACTCTAAAATCTTGCCTCACGCTGTGATATTAAAAAAATCATACCATAATTGTTTGTTAAAGACTAGACCTTGCTGGATTTATAAAACATAAGAATACAACAGCTCCCAATAAAAGGATGCTCTCATCCATCCATCCAGCTGTTTCTTGAAGGAATCCAGGGTAACGGCTTCAGCTTGTTCCACACTCCCACAGCCCTTCATGTAAAGAAGGTGCCTCCTGTCCTCAGTTTTATCCTATCTAATCTCAGTGCCAGCTCACAGCTGGCGGTAATGAAATGCGAAGCGGCGCCGAGGGGGCGCATCTGTACCAGGTGCGCAGAAAGAAAGGCGGAGAAGGCCGCACGGGACCGAGGGACCCTCACCCACTTCTCGGACGCGCTTGTACTCGTTTATCCTGCAGTTGAGCGCGACGGCGGCCTCCGCTGCCTGCCGCAGGGCGGGGGCGGCCGGGTGCTGGGCGTCCGTGTGCTTCAGCATGGTCTGCAGGAGGAGAGGGTAGCGGGCGATCCGCTGGACCGGCATCACCAGGAAGAACGTCAGGGAGGTGGCATTGACGTCCGGGCTGGGAGAGAACAAAGAGCAGGACTTCAGTTCAGACACTCTGGCGTGCAATCGGCTTAGAACTTCAACTTCGGGACAAGTCCCGAAAAGTCATGCATGCACCTCCCCCACCACCGCTCACCCGAATCATATTTACAGTCCATATTTTTCTCCCTCCCACTTCCCGTCCAAATATCAGTTATGTATCAGTTCCAGTTTTGCCTGATTTACAGATGTACTGCACGTGTGCATCTTTTGACAAAAGTCTCCAGCTGCATGCGGCAAGCCGATTCTTGTAGCACACCCATAGAGACACACTGTGGTGGAGACTCTTGTCTCTACATTCCCCAGAAGGCTGTGAGGAAGGATCTGCCATCCTCAGTCACCTGACTGGTTGCCAGAAGACAATTGATTGGGTGAAACCAGGAAGCAGAGTCAGTCTCTGTCTGCCACTTGAACACAGAAGGCAGATCCTTAATTATTCAAGTTGTGCCGCCAGTCACTGGACTGAACAAATGAGCAACAGTTATATTTTGTAGATTTTGGAAGTGTCAAAGACTTTGTTTTAGACTCAGGAGGTAGATTAGCTGTGTGTGAGAGGGCTGTGAAGAAGTGTGGTTAAAAGCTCAAAGAAGTTCAAGCTTTTTTAATTTTAGCTTTTTTGCTTGTTTCTGTTCTGGAATAGATTTGGCTTTACGCTGTAAATAAGAGCACTTTCACTTCCTGATGGCTGCTATCTGTGTTTGTTTTATTTTGACCTGCCTATGAACATTCCCATTTAATGACACCCTGTTCCAGGACGTGACACTCATGCATTTCCTTATGGGGAGTCTCTAGATGACTCAGAAGGATAGCAGCTGAACCAGGAGTGATAAAAAAAAGGAAAAATATCTTATCTTTTAAAACACAAAATTCACAAGAACAATATACACAGTCTTAATGGAACAAGAGATGGGTAAAGAGGTGAACCTACGCTGACGTCTTTATTGTGTTCACAACCGCCTGCCACAGGCCTTCTCTCTGCCTGAAGCTGGTCTCCATGGCCACTATGGTGTTGTAGCTGGCACAGTACTCCCTGTACACCATCTCCATGTCCTCTCTCAGACTGAGAAACGCACTGCCTACGAAACAAACAGAGGCATTAAAGTCTGTGGACCACATCTGTGCCCCTAACTGAGGGCAGATCTCACCAGAAGGCGTGTCCACTGCACCTCTCCAAGAGCAGGAAGCAAGGGTGTAGAAAAGTAAGAACTTCACAATGTGCATTTGTGCAAGTTCAAGCTGTGCTGCCGACTACGGGACTCAAGATGCTACAAAGGGGGAACAGTGTCGTCATCCTTCCCACCATGTGAAAAACCGAATCATTTGAAGATGACGAAAACACTGGTCCCACTTCCTATGAGGTGTCCTAGTTTTGGATCCTGTTCTGTTGTGTTGTGTTTCCTTTTTTGTTTCCAGTTTCTACACCTCATGTTGAAACTCTGAAACAATGAGGCGTCCCAAGACACTCTGTGCAAGGACTTGTGAACACCCTTACCCAGATAATGTGGCTTTGAGAGATTCTGCAACGTAAGAACGGAAGTGAGGAGTGGTGAGGTGCAGTAGACTTGACGTCAGTAAAGCTCCCCTCCCTCCCAGGCCTGAGGTATTTACAGAGAGCACTGAGGAATTCTGGGTCAGTGGGCTCCTTCTGCTCCAGGAGGCTCAGCAGGCAGCTGGACACCTCGATAACATCGTCCACATTCGAGAATACCCCTTCCACGTTCCCCAGGGGTGGCTGTGAGGAAACACCAACCAATTCATTCGTTTAGAGAAGCGAAAAGGTGTTTCTTGATGTTGTTAAATAACACAGCAGACTTTGTGTGCTGACTATCTAAACCCCATTGTATTACATTTATACGATTTGGTTTCATCTTTGTTCATAATCTAAATACAAATGTATTTATATAGTCAATTCGCTTTCATCTCGGTTGAGTAAATCTAGAGACATGGAACAATAGTTTGCTCAAATGGTCAATGGAAATATAATTTGAAAAGATTTTTTTTGCTTGGCCAGACAAAGCTTGGCTGAAACAGCACAGACTGGAGAGCCAAAGAGAAAGCAATGTTTTATTTTGGACACCGAGGATTTTATCACTACCTCAAGAGTCTATTGAGAGGGTCTATCTCTGGCTTTGCAGTTGCAGACGAGTCCTGTACCTGGAGCTGCTTCAGATGTCCTCTGATGACCACAGCACACAGCTGCAGCATTCTCAGGTAGCTTCTTTCAGTGGAAAGGAGCTCTTCAACAGCCAGGAGCTGCTTCTGCTTCATCGTGTCAACGATGGACTCTGGCTCTGCCGGCTCCTCCTCTTCTTCGCCGCTCTTCGGCGGGGGAGTAAGAGCCCCAGGGGTACTGTCCATGGTGCACAGGTCTGCAGCAAAGAGAGAGGAAGTTTGTTTTCTCAGAAACTGGCAGAGGACCTGAAGACAGCTCAACAGCGCTGCTCCATTGTACTGGTGAGAGGTACAACTGTGGGGCCTCTGTCTATATGAAAGGAAGACACCTGACCGCTGGCCTGCAGTGATGACAAGGAAGAATAAAATAAAATCACAGCACCTGACCATTTATTGACATCTTGCTTTGATGGTGTATTTTGGATTAAATTAAGGTAAATCAAGAATCGGTGTGATACATAAAATAGTGAGCATAAATTTCCGAAGAAGACAAAAAGTCAGAGGCAGATCAGAATTGAGCAGAATATTATCTGAAGCCTTAACAAGAGAAAGAGCAGCTGAATAAAGTGAATGAAAGGGGAAGTGGAGGACTGGGCTGTTAATTTGTTTGTTTTGTGGAGCTTTTGTTTTCAGTTCATTTTAACAAACACCCCACATCTTACATTACCCCGAAGATGAGCCATGTTCGTATTTATCTAGCCCTACCCGGTAGGAAACAGAAGATCAGCAGCAATTTCTGACAATCTCAAATCACTGAAAGCAATCAAACGCAGAACCGCTCATATCCGCACCGGCAGCTACTGCAGTGAACGTCACAACCCGCTCCGTCTCCACACTCAGAAACACCTCTCCCCAGGGAAAGGGAGCACAGAGCTGCCTCAGGACTGCTGTGAAACCGATCACAAGGTTCCCACAGCTCGCAATCGAGCACTGCGAGCGCGGCGCTGGAGGAGAGAGGCAAGCCTGTAAACACACAGCTGCAAGGAGAGATCATTATTACCTTGCGCTCTCCGAGAAAGCCGCTCCAGCAGTTGCAGGAAGGCCAGGAGCCCTGGCAAACAAGCAGGCCCGTGACACACACTGTCTGCTGAGCCTGCTGCAGCACGGGGGGGGGGGGTGTGTACTCTGGGCTGTTGTTTGGGACAAGACAGCTCGGCCCCGCTGATGAATGGGCTGATTGATGGCAGCAGGGAGCTGTGGGAAATAAAAATACCGCCCACTGTGGCGACATGCAACTCGCTGGCCTCTGACCAAGGACTGCACTTGCTGTCTGCAGCGTGGCACCACACACACACACACAAGGAAAAGTATTAGGCCAGTTTCAATACTGCAGCCATGATCTCCCGCACCACAGTGCCTTAACTGTTCAAGTCCAAATACCACAGTACTTCAGGCTACGCATGTGTGCTAAGACTCATGTGACATACTACAGAACGACAATGGCCTCTTTGAGTTGAGTAAAGTAATAAAATAATTCACCTGTCTAGCTACTAGTTCTGTTCCCAAAAAATCTTTAAAGAAGCCGTAACAAATATTTTTCATCCGTGTTATTTGTATTAGATAAAAATCGCCACATCAAGCCAGCAATCATTAGCAATGTCAAGACCCTGGGTGATCAGATGTGATTAGAAGCCTCATCTGGTTGTTTTTAATAAGGTAGATAAATTGAAGACAGGGGCTGTAAACATTACTCTGGCTAGTTATCCAACTCCGTGCCACCCTGATGTTAACACTGACCTTTCACTGGAAAGCAGGACTGGCTTGGTCAGCTTTTCCAGAAATAAATCTCGTGCAACAGTGCACAGAAACAGGAGTGTCCCAGGCGTTTTTTTTAACAGTGCCAGCTTTACTAAGGTTACCAACAGTACCAAGGAACTACAGCATGTGGAAGTGCATTTAAAACTGAGAACAGGAGGCACTTCTTCACCCAAAATGTTGTTGAGGCAGACACGACTGGAAGAGATCCTTGGGCAAATAAGCTACTTAATACCAAACGCAGGAGATGAACAAGATCATTCTTATATTAGGAACCGTTAGGTTCTTATATCTTTCTCAGGTTAATAAATCTAGCAAGGCAACGGGTAATTATGACATGTTTTTTTTATGTCATAGCATGAGTCAAGTCTTCACCATTGCCTGGCCAGGAAAATGTTATTGTTCCATGTGGAAGTACACAAGACGTGTTTATGTACAACACAGCCATACTATTTACTGTCCACAACACAAAAATCACACAGTACACCATCACCACACTGAGCTGTGAAGGAGCAGCACAGCCATGACCGCTACATCATGTGTTTGCATGAGTTTGAGCTAAATATAAATTATACAAGGAGCCACTTGAAAACACAAGGGAAAGAAATCAGATAAATAATTTAAATACATACTGTAAATGTGATAGCTAGACAAGAACGGTGCTCTCTTTTAACAGCTACTTGAGTGAGATGATATCCTAAATTAGATTAAATTATTATATTTATCTCCATTATCTCACACACCCGTTGTTTTCAAGTCAGATAACAACATTACTGGATCACAGCAAATGATGTAATATGACATCTGTTAACCTCAGGTGTTGAAGCGTTATCCCCATGTCTGGAGGAATACTGTTTAACACCATCACACTCTCCTCCACCCCGAGCTTGTGGACATGACCTATGTGCTGAGGTACCTATTTGGGATTTTTCCTTACAGTGCTGCGCTTAAAGATGCATATAATTACAGATGAAGACAGAAGCCTGTGCTTGAACGAACACTTACACTGAGTAGGTCTCAAGACTCACACAGAGCCCGGACCCTATGAGCAAGTTCATCCCTCAGAAAGGCCTACAAGTAGCTAAATGGCAACAATGATTCATGGGCAAAAGTTATTTTAATACAGCAGATGCACAATGCCATTTCAACACTTTTCTATTTATTGCTGAAATCATTGGCACTAACTGTAAGGGATTTATTTCATCATCACTGTATCTCAAGCATAATGCTATGCAATTCACAATTTGTGACTAAAATATGCAGAAGCTTGTTGCTTCAGTCTTCCTGCTTTTACAGTCAAAATAGAATTACTGGATACATGATGCCATCTCAGAAACCACCTGGTGCACATACAGTAAAAACATATAAAATGTTGGCAAATTAAAAAATGGGTGACTATGAAAAGCAAACGGATCTGTTTTTTTTTTTAATTAAGCAGAAATATTGACATCCCTGTTCAATCCTGTTGTGTGATCTTTAATGAGCAAGTAGCTAGGACCTCAGTTTAATGTCTCATCTAAAAAAAGGACAAGGATGGCACCTCCTACAGCAGTGCTCTCTATCGCCACAGGGAGCACTGCTTCAGAGGAAAGAGTGCCACCTACTGGTCCACCTTTCACTCCTTACAGCCTAACCATGGTTGTCCACAGAGGACTCCCAGTACTGACCAGGCCCAGTCCTGCTCGGTTTCTGAGACCTGAAGAAACCAGGCAACAGGGGTGATAGCATTGCTGCCAAATATTTAAAGCTCACGATTTTATTTTAAACTCCCATCCAACTATGAGCTTTTTCATTTCAGCTTCATACGGCGTTCTTTTATAGAAGCTACGGAGGAGGTCAAATTCTGATCTCGTGCTTCCTCTCTCATACATACTCACTGGCTGCCCACAACTCTGCACACAGATTTTTTATACACTCCTCCCTCCATTCAAACTGCACCCTTGCAGCTGCCTCCCTGGGTCATTCCTCGTCAGTGAGGGAGGGGGTTTGTAACAACACTGACCTTCACCCAGGACTCTCATTTCCTCAGCCAGGAATACTTAAACATTTAATACTTAAATTCAAAGTATTAAGCTATTCCTTTATTTGTTAGATCATTTTATTGTTATTAGATTTTGATCAAGCTGCTGAAATCCGTA